GGGTATAATAAAGGAGTTTTTCCAATTAAAGGACAATCGAAACGGGATTCGTTTATTAAGAAGTTCAGAGTCGCCACTTGGGAGATTTATGGTGTCCCAAGTCACCGGTTTGAATCCCGAATCGAGGAAAGGGTTTGACTCTATTTAACAGTCGCGAACCAGAAATCCGGATAAGGAATTCTGTTAACCCGAGAGAAGGGGTTAGGCACTCCCGAGTTCCGTGGTTCTAGCACGGTCGCTCAATTGTCATATTTGGCTTAAGTCTAATTTTAATTCATGTCATCCTATAGTGCAATTTTAAAATTGTTTAACCGTTTTTAATTAGTTTTTATGAAAGTGAACGTCGTGTGAAAATGTGTCTTTCGATCACGTCACATGAAATGCAACCGTATCCTCGACACATTTCCATTTAACGTTTTGGGATTTGGATTTGGGTTGCAGGAAATGCACACCCGAATTTAGGAAGGTAAAATTATTTAAAGAACGCGCCTAAAGCGACTAACGTGTTATTAACTTTGCGGGAGGCCATGGAAATTCGCTAAATGGCACGCCCCGAATTCTAAGTATTTAATATAGCCATTTAAAGAGGGCCCCGCAATCATGTGTTTTGTTTAGCGAGGCTCATCTCTTTTTATTAATTAAAAGGCAATCCTAAAGCAACTATGGTTTATATTTTTATTTGTCTCTAATAATAAAAGAAATAGCCCTAGTTAATTAACATGCTCATACATCATTATTTAAAGTGTTAAAGGAAATCACGCCCTCAATTCATTGGGCCTCCAGACCTTGGACCTCAAGGCTGACTCAGCCCAGCTCATGAAGAGCAGCCCAATAAAAGGTCCAAATTTTTGATTGCAGAGGGTCAGGTGGCCTGGGCCTGCGATAAGCCCGATGGCGGATGCCAGTTTCACTTTTGCGCTGGTTAGCATCTTAACGGGCTGTTACATATATGTATTTAAATCAAAGACCAAATCAACCAAATGTTGGGCTAATCTAAGTAGTAATTGACTCTGAAACTGCTTTTTGTTAATATTGATTCGAGGCAGGCTAGCAATATTGTTCCAATTTAATCCTTAGATTCATATGACACCATATTTGACTTTCCGTTAATTGCTTCTAACAGTCAAATGTCCAATTATTGATTACAAAAAGGGAAAAATACGATTTCAAGGGCACTTCCACGTACAGAACCTTTCCAATCCAAACTAACACAATGGATGGACTTGTATTATATTAAAACTCCAAATGAAATTCAACACAACCCTAGATAATCTATCTAATACCAAAAATCAATTAACAATCTACTAACAGTCCATTGGCAGTCCATATTCTCATTAATACATCTGAAATTATGGTTCAAATAAATCAATCACGCGAGAATTCTAAAAAAAGCAATAACAGTAAAGTGCAGGTGCAAGCATGTATCCCTTTTTCATTTATACTTCAGACTTGTGGTTTATAGGTGAAGGCAATCTTCAGCATCATTTGAGCATGAGAAAATACCTGGATTACATGAAATAAAGGAGAAGAGGAAGGTCAGCAGCAGTATTCAACAGCTAATCTCAACAGGCCCCAATTTTACACCCAGAAACACACTCAAACACAGCCCAGAATAAATCGTAAGGTAACAGCAACAACAGATTTCCACAACAGACTCGATTGACCAGTTTCAACTGAAAAATAAAACCAAATAGCTCAAATTCTCCCAATAACTCATTCAAATTGGAATCCAGAACACTCTGAAACTTCAATGATTGTAGTTGTGCTAAAATGTGACAATCAGTGATTAAAATTCAAAAATCAGCCTAGAGAAATCGATGTACAGTACTTGTTTTTGATTTTTTGTTGTTTTTCTGAATATTTGAGAAGCCTAAGATCTAAAGGAGTTTGAAATTTGAATTTCAGATCTAGGAAGCTTGGAGAATATTTTTGGGGGGAATTTTTGGGGCTCCCAAACTTGTTTATGAAGGCAAGCAAGCTTCCTTTTATAGGCAAACTTTAGGGGGGGAAACTTCTAGATTTCCCTCACATTTCCCCCTTTTTACTTCAGATTTTACCCAAATAGTCCTCTATTTTCTGACTTGTGTTTCAAGTTATACTATAGATTTTCTGAAATACTAGATTGAGCCCCATTCTAGAGACTTCTAGGGAGTTCTAAATTCAGTTGCTATCTTATTCCCTAAGTAAACTACCCTTATTGCCCCTACCTTGGCCTTGAAATTACTAACCCAACCCCAGCCTTGTTAACTAACTAAACAACCGTGGTTCAAGTAGTTATTTTGCAAATTAATCAGCTAGAATCAAATTCAAACATAACTCTTAAACCTAAACTATCTACTGATTTTCAGACTGCCCACTACCATTAGCCAATCAAACTAAGAAAATTAACAGCCACAGAACCAAATTGCAACAGGCAGAAATATCAATCAAATTCATCAAATTAAACTAATCGCCATTTATAACCCTAACACTAATTACAGATTAACACAAGAAAACATGCTACCAATTTTATTAACATAATGAAATTAAAAAGAACAAACTCCTATTACTGATTATTAGAACCCAAAATAAGATGAAATGAACGACTGAAAACAAAGAAAAATAAACTTGACTACTCCCAAACAAAACGACCATCCAAATCAATTAATCAAGCCCAAACAGTCATGGTAGAGGGATTAACATAAGAAAAGAAAAATTGAAGAACTCACTGGTGACGGGTCGATTCAGTCCCTAACTTCAAAAGGGCCAAACCCTAGATTTGAAATTGGCTGAGCTTCACTTGAATTTGAAGGTTCTTGACCTGGAATTCGGAATGAGGAGGCCTAGGAGACTGTGGGGTACGCTTTTGACCGGATTTGGAAGAAGTGGGGTTTTGACCGGAAACTTCAAATCGATATTCGAAGAGTTCCGGTCAGATTTGAGGGACGGGGTTTGGGGGGATTGATAGAGGAGGACAAGGCAGTTCTACGGTTTTAATGTGGTGGTGAACGGAGAAAGTTGAGTTTTGGCCGGATTTTAGATCTAATTTTCGAGAAGATTGGCTAGGAATTGAGGGATAGTATTTGGGGATTTGGAAAGAGGAGGGAAAGGGGAGCTTGTGGTGAAATTTTGGGCGGATTTGGAGCATTGCCGCCGGCGGAGGCAATTTCCGGCCGGCGGTGGACGGCGGAGACACGGTGGTGGGATGCCGGCGTTACAGGGGGGGATACGAGGAAGGTGAAGAATGTTTTTAGGGTTTGGGTTATTTTTGGACAATTATATGTAACATCAAGATTCATCAAGGACCGCTGGATTGAAGTCGATGGACGGCTTGGATTGCATTGATCAAAACGACGACGTTTTGAATACAGGGGGGGCAGGCCGGGTTAATGGGCGTTTGGGCTGGGATTATGAGATGGGTTTGAAGGGTTGTGACGGGGTTCTGGGCTCGATTTTGGCCCAAGGCTGATGGCCTGATTTACCCTTCTTGTTTTAATTGAATTAAACACTTTCTTTTGTTAATTTTCTTTTCCTTTTTTATTTATTTGTTTTGTTTTATTTCTTTACAAAATTAAAACTAGCAAAACCTAATTTAACTCCCAAACTTAGACTAATTAATTTCTAAAAATAGAATAAATCCTAGTTAAAAAGCAAACTAAACAAAAAAAATCTAGAATTGGAAAGAGGAGGGACTATTTTTTGTAATTTTCTTCTATTTTTGGTGATATTAGTAAAAAAAAAAATCTAGAATTGGATCCTAAATTCAAGTATGCTATTTTTGTATATTTTTTAGGAATTATAGCAACTACACATGCACACAAAAATGCAAACAAGGCACAAAATAATGCAATTAATTCAAATAATAAAGAAAAATTATAATTCTAAGGAATTTATAGGAGTAGTTTAAGCATGGCAAAAATCACGTGCTCACATGCCCGTTACAAGGAATCTGGCATTTATACTCACCGTTACATCTTCATCAATGGCCCTCTTAATTAACATTAAAGAAGGGCACGATCCTAGGATCTCCTTCCCTAGATGTAGCTGTAAATAGTGAGCCCAATTATCATTGTAAAGGACACGAATTTTCTGGCAAACTTACGCTACACTCTATCCAAAGCTTAATACAATTTTATCTTCTTGCTTTTTTTATTTCATTGTTGTTGTGCCCGGAAGCTCTGCTCCCGGAACTACTGTTTCTGCTATTTTGTCTCCATCTCAAGGCTAAGTATTGTATATTCCTTCAAAGATCTTATTATTTCAGGATCAAATTAATTCACTTGTCTATAAACCACGTATAAATCCAACTGTAACATTTTATGGGTAAATAGTTTGGCGCCCACCGTGGGGCCTAGACAACCGTGCAATTAAATTGATCCTTGTCTTTTTTACTAACATGTTTTGATTGTCTTAGAAAAATCATAAGAAATGGCAGATAACGGTGTTAACAACACGCACAATCCCGAGATTCGAGGGGATCAACCTCATTTCGAGGGCTCAATCAGTGACACCCACAACAAGGGGAATGACGCCACACCGGTGCATAACTGGCAATATCCTTGACATGTTCGAGAGACAACTCCTGATGATGCTGAGGAGGAACATGTCATTGATGCGGTAAGGGACTTGCAAGAACAACATGCGATCATTCTAGGCCACCTCATGCGATATGATAAGATTATGACGGAGTTGAAGCAGGCGCTGTCGGAGGCTTCGAATAATGCGAATAGACGAGATTCGATTCCTCCCGGCACTCTTGCGCATCAAAAAACGCAGAGGGTCAACAATAACACTCCGAGGGGAGAAGCTGGCTCTAATGGGACTGGGGGGAGCGGGTCCAGCTCCAATAACGAGAACGATCCTCTCAAGAATGAACTTTTATCGTTTATGAGGGAAGTGAACGCCCGCATAGACCAAATCACGGGGCACCATTGGTGCTGAAAGGTCCGGACTCAAAGAAGTATAACCAATTCCCATACAAGCCAAGTGCAACACCCGAATTAATCCCGAAGCGGTTTAAAATGCCTGATGTGCCAAAGTATGACGGAACTTCAGGCACTTGGGAGCATATTACCGCTTACACAATGGCGGTAAAGGGAAATAATTTAGCTGGTCACGAAATTGAATCTGTTTTGCTGAAGAAATTTGGAGAGACTCTCACGAGGGGAGGCTTGGCGTGGTATTCATTGTTACCCGAGCATTCCATAGACTCCTTTCAGATGCTCGCGGACTCTTTCATCAAGGCTCATGCCGGAGGCAGAAAAGTACAAGCCTGAAAGGCCAACATATTCAGGATTGTGCAACGAGAATCCGAGTTGCTACGAGAGTTCATTACTCGATTCCAGAAGGAGAAAATGTTGCTCCCGGCTGTCCCGGATGAATGGGCGGCTGAAGCATTCACCAAGGGACTGAATTTGAGAAGTTCAGACGCTTCCTGAAAATTGAAGGAAATCCTGCTCGAGTTTCAAGTAACGACTTGGGCGGATATCCGCAACCTGTACGAATCAAAGATAAGGATCGAAGATGATCAAGTTGGATTTACATCGTCGACAAAAGTACGGGAGAAGAACAGAGAAACATTGAAAGATTATTATGACATGGACAGACGGTCTTCAAAGGGCCAGTTTTTGCCCTACGAACGGACCGAAGGCTGCGGCAAAGGCTCCCGGATAGCGGATAGATTCGTTGTTGACAAAATGACTGATCGCGGTCGGAACAATAGATCACTGCAGGTTAAAGAAGCGTCAAGGTCAAGGGATCCTTCTTACCCAATCTATCGGAATACAACTTGAATGTCATTATAGTGGAGTTAGTGTCAGCCATGAGAAACATCAAAGAAGCACGATTCCCGAAACTAATGAGATCTGATCCCAGCTAGAGGGATCCCAACTTATGGTGTTAATACCACGGGACGAATGGTCACCAGACAGGGGACTGTCGACACCTCGTGGAAGAAGTGAAAACACTATTGAAGAATGGTCATCTCAGAGAATTATTGAGTGAATTATTGAGTGACCGAACTAAGAACAATTATGGTCGTAACCGGGACAACGTGGAACCCTCAAAAGCAGGAGAAGACCCCCCGTGCCAAACGATCAACATGATCTTCGGAGGGAATGAGATCAACGGGTTCACCTTTTGGGCAACAAAAAAGATAAAAGTATCAATAACCCATAACAAAAGGCTCGGGGAAGACGATATCACTTTTACGGAGGAGGATGCAGACGGATTGTTGCTACCACACAATGATGCACTAGTAATTTCTTTAAATGTGCTAGATTTTAAGATTAAACGTGTTCTTGTGGATCCAGAAAGTTCGGCTAATATCATACAATGGAGAGTGTTGGAGCAAGCTAAACTTACCGGAAGCATTATTCCTAACACAAAGCTCCTCGCTGGATTCAACCTCGCGAGCGTGACAACCCGAGGACAAATTTTATTACTCAAAAATGCCGAATGAGTAATGAAAAAAACTCTCTTCGAAGTGGTAGATGGTGATTGATATGGGATATAACATCATTTCGGGAAGGCCGTGGTTGCTCGAGATGAAAGTTGCACCATCAATGTATCATTAATTGCTAAAGTTTCAAACGCCCGAAGGAGTTAAACAGATAAGGGGTGACCAACCGGCGGCAAGGGAGATGAATGTAATTTCAGTCTCCAGTAGCAAAGGAAAGGAACACGTGGCATAGCAATTACAGGAACTGATGCCTGCTCCCGAACTAGATAAAGTTATCCCGGGGGCAGAAACGTCGGACAATTATCAGGTGGCCAAGTATTTCTAGGTTCCAGAAGAGACAGATACAACAAAATCCATAGCGGAAGAGCTTGAGCAAGTTTCATTGTTCGAAGAATTCCTAGAAAGAAAATCCCACTTGGGGACATGACTGCACCGGGAGCTTAGGTCTTGCTTTATTAAATTCCTCTAGCTTTATTTCCTTAAATCTAATGCCGATTGTTTTGCATGGTCGCATGCGGATATGACAGGTATCCCGACGGAGGTATCCGTACACAAGTTAAGTTTGGATCCTAACATAACTCCGATAAGACAAAAGAAACGCCCTATTGCCGAAGCCAGGAATAGATTCATCAAAGAAGAGGTGACTCGCTTACTTAATATCAGTTCGATCCTAGAGATAAAGTATCCGGATTGGCTAGCTAATGTAGTAGTAGTTCCGAAGAACAATAAATTTTGCATGTGTGTAGATTATAAAGATCTTAATATGGCGTGCCCAAAAGACTCGTTCCCACTGCCAAACGTCGATCAAATGATTGATGCCACGGCCGGGCACGAGTTAATGAGTTTCCTCGATGCTTATTCCAGGTACAAACAAATTATGATGAACCTGGAGGATCAGGAAAAGACTTCGTTTATAATGAATTTTGGGACAAATTTCTATAAAGTGATGCCCTTCGGGTTGAAAAACGCTGGAGCCACTTATCAACGGCTCGTGAACGGGATATTTGAAAATCAAATAGGAAAAACTATGGAAGTTTATATCGACGATATGCTCGTTAAGTCATTGAATGCAGTTGATCAACTTACACATCTGCAAGAAACTTTTGACATCTTAAAGAAGCATAATATGACACTTAACCCCGAGAAATGAGCGTTCGAAGTCAGCTCCGGTAAGTTTCTGGGATTTCTGATATCGCAAAGGAGAATTGAGGTAAACCCCGATAAGATCAAGGTGATCGAAGACATTCTGGACCAACTGTCAAGTGTGAAGGTAGTCCAAAGGGTCACGAGGAGATTGGCAGCTTTGAGCAAGTTCATTTCCCGATCATCAGAAAAATGTCATCGTTTCTTCGCACTGCTCAAAAAGATAAATAATTTTGAATGGACCTCGTAGTGCCAGCACGCTTTGAGGGATTTGAAAAAGTACTTGTCAAGCCCTCCATTTCTTTTGAAACCAAAAGAAGGTGAAACGTTGTTAGTGTACTCGCGTCTTGGAAGTTGCGGAAAGTGTGGTTTTAGTCCGTGAGGACAAAGGTACAGTCTCCCATTTATTATGTTAGTAAAATTTTAACGGGTGTAGAAACTCGCTACCCACATTTGGAGAAACGGTCCTTAGCTCTCGTAGTCTCCGCTCGAAAGCTGAGGCCCTACTTCTAATGTCACCTGATAGCCGTGGTGACCACTTTCCCTTTGCGGAATATCCTTCAAAAACCTGATCTAGGGTATATTGGCTTAATGGGCCGGCAAAATGAGTGAGTTCGACATAAAATATAAACCGAGGACTGCAAGTAAGTCACAAGTCTTGGTTGACTTTGTAGCCGATTTCAGTCCGGGATTACTGCATCTGGAAACCAAAGAGGTAGTAATGGTGTTGGAATCGACATCAGGGGTTTGGACCTTATTTACGGATGGAGATTCCAATATAAAAGGGTCCGGGCTTGGTATAGTATCACGCCTTTGGAGGAAACCCTAAGGCAAACCATCAGAATGGTCCCTTTAACTATCAATGAAGTAGAGTATGAAGCTTTGATTGCAGGGCTCGAACTAGCCCGGGGACTTAACTCTGAGGTCATCTAAATCAAATGCGACTCGCAGCTGGTGGTAAATTAGGTCTACAGGATCATCGAAACCAAAGAGGAATGCATGCAACAATACGTGGTAAAGGTCCAGGCTCTGTTGGCACAATTTCGAGATTGGTCGACTACTCATATCCCGAGGGAAGATAACTTAGAAGCAGACGCATTGGCTAACCTCGGATCATCGACGGAAATAAAGGCATCGGAGTCCGGGACGGTAGTGCAACTGATGAACTCAGTCCTGGATACAGATGGTTACTATGAGGTAATTGCGACTAATTTAGTCTGGGACTAGAAGAATAAAATCATCGATTATCTCGAGCACGGGAGGCTACCTGTAGACCCCAAAGCATCCCGGGCGCTGTGCGCCAAAGCAATGCGATATAGCTTCAAGATTGGCCAAATGTATAGAAAATCTTTCCAAGGCCCGCTAGCCCGATGCTTAGGGGCATCTGAACCTAACTATGTCATGCAAGAAGTCCACGAAGGGATATGCGACAACCATTCGGGCGCAGATTCCTTAGTACTAAAGTTGGTAAGGGCAGGATATTATTGGCCCCGCATGGAACAAGATGCCAAAGACTTCATACGAAAATGTGATAAGTGCCAACACTACGCACCACCGGTGCATCAACCGGCAAAACCATTACATTTGATTTTGTCGCTGTGGCCGTTCATGAAGTGGGGGATGGACATCGTCGGACCACTACCGCCGACTCCCTGAAAGGTAAGATTTGTTTTAATTTTGACTAACTATTTTTCTAAGTGGGTGGAAGCATGTCCTTATCTGAAAATCGGCGAGCGCGAAGTCTTGTGGGAAAATATTTGCAGGTTCGAAATATCAAAAGAGATAACGTGCGATAATGGGCCATAATTTATTGGTGCAAAAGTCACAAAGTTTCTCGAAGATTTAAAAATAAAGAGGATCACATCTTCACCCTATCATCCAAGAGAAAACGGTCAAGCGGAGTCGATGAACAAAGTGATTATACAAACCCTCAAGAAAAGGTTGGAAGCGGCTAAAGGTAATTGGCCCGAGGAGTTACCTGGAGTTTTATGGGCATACCGAACAACGGCCAAATGGAGCACAAGAGAAACCCCCTTTTCTCTTGTGTACGGTGCAGAAGCTCTAATCCCGGTAGAAGTAGGAGAACCGACCTTGAAGCTCTAATCCCGGTAGAAGCTCTAATCTTCTTTTTGGTTGTTTGTCCTCCTGTCGAGGACTCCATAATGGAACACTTGTACCCGAAGCAGGCCCAGAGATACCTGTTCGAGTAAGCGCCTCCTGAAGCAGCCTCGCTGCATCAACAGGATCAGCCAAGACGTCCTCCTCGGGGATAGCAACAGAGCCTGCGGGTAGACCTAATTTCATAGACAAGGTAGAAGGGATCAATCAAGTTCTTCACATAAAAAACTGAAACAAGGTGAGTTCGAGTTACTAAGGTTTTTGGGCTCCTACCCGTGTTTAGGGGCTAGTTCTTTCCACGAGCAGGTTTCAGGCGTCATGACATCCAAGATCTTCTGGACCCACCGGTCCACACCTTCAACCAGTGGTAGGACCCATCGAGTTGCTAAAACAGGTGAAGGATGGAGTCAATACTGGTATAGAAGAATATTCAATAAAAGAAATATTAAACAAAGAGCTTACGAGTGTGGTTCCAAGTGGCTGGAAAGGATGAAGTCGTTGCTGGAATGATATCTTTGGTGGCAACTATAATGAACTGCTCCATCAACCCACGGTCGTTGTCATCATCCATGCTAGATAACAGAGCATGGTGGTCGCGCTTGCAGAAGTTTATCATTCCCCTGCGGAAGATCTTGAGAGAATAGAGATTCATCACATGAGCTAAGATTAGCTCTTCTCCCGTCCTGGCACAAACACCGAAGGCAAGCAATCGTCCTCCACACATAAGGACTTACTTGTGTCAAACACACCTGATAGCGGAGGCAAAACTCTACAATAACGGAGTCAAGCTCTCCACTCAAAGAGAACGCACCCAAAGTTCCTTGGGAGGGGTCACTCGCTCCGATAGGTCAGGAGCAATAATATCCAAATCACGGCAGCAGTAGTCTTCCTTCATAGCAGGAATGCTAGAAGGGCGAATGGAAGAAGGATACCTACTGACGGCCCATGTACGAGGGCTAGCAGAAGGAAATTTCTCTTCGAAGTCTTTTCTGGTAACAAGACTTCTAGGAATGATGGAACCCACTGTTGGAGGGGCAGAGTCCTCGGCCTTTTTCTTGTTCTTCGAAGAACTGGTATTCTTTGAGGAAGAAGCCATTATATAGAAGAAGGAAAATGTTTTTTGCTTGAAGAGAATTAGAGAAAAGTTGAAGAGCAGGATGCAAGTCGAATAAGGAAAGCTTGCAAAATTATGGAGTATAAGGGGAGAAGGTTGATGCGTACAAGTAGAAGTTTTGGCGGCTAAATTCATGGCCACGATTACCTCGATAATCGGCAAAAGTTGTGCTAAATCGTGGATGACGCGTGTTTGGGGCATTAAACGCGAAAAGACGTGCGTCTAATCAACCATCAGAAGCCTTTAGAGGGAGTTATAGTAATTTCCGCTAAAAGAGTGTTTCTACCAACATCTCGGTGACACAAAGTTATGTCACCGGAAAGCAGGGGTATCTATATAGGGTAAAATATGCTATACTACGTGACCGTCCGAAAGAGGGACACGTAGAGCCCAAGACGGGGGGATGGCCAAAACCGAAGGCAACTGTTCCGTCTGTCTCCGAGAAGGATAGCGCTCATGCGGATGTAATAAATATTTTTCGCCCGGTAGCATTTAATAGAGAATATTCCACGGCATTAAGTACGATTGCCCATTATAAGGAATCTGGCATTTATACTCACCGTTACATCTTCATCAATGTCCCTCATAATTAACATTAAAGAAGGGCATGATCCTAGGACCTCCT